CGTTTTTGTAGATAGTTGTAGTTGTAGTTGTTATATAGTTTTAGATAGTTGTTCAGTTTACCTTTTAATAGTTGTAGATAGTTAAAGGAGATTAAGGGGGTTGTTCTTCCCCCTTTTTTCCCCCGGCACATAGCCGGGCTCATGCCCAAGGCTCCCGGCTTTAAGCAGTGTGCGTCCTGCGCTAAGCCTATGCCCACAAGTGATCCGCACGACTCGTGTCTGAAGTGCCTGGGAGAGTCCCATCAAACAGATAAGTGTAAGATCTGTAAGGCCTTCAGACCGAGAACCAAGAAGGAGCGGGACTTTCGGCTTCGGCAACTCCTCATGGAGGCGGCACTTAGCCCGGACACTCCATCGGCGCATCAAGCCCCAGCGCCAAGCGCCTTGGTGCGCAGTGCCCCTGCGGCACCGACTGCCCCGGCACCGCGGGTGGAGTCGGACAAGCCTCCGCGGCACCGAACCCCTTCGGCACCGCACCTGCCGCAAGTGCCTCGGCGCCCATCGTTATCTCCGGGACACAAGAAATCCCGTAAGGCGCAGGAGACTGCCGTCCTGAAGACGCCGGCCCCCCCGGTGCCGGGGGTAGAGCCGCGTCCACCGGTGGAGCACCAAAAGCAGGTGCCTCCGGCACCGTCGACTCTGGCTCCGAGGCCGTTGAGTCCGGTGCGGACGGGATCACCACCGCGGTCAGTGGTAGAGCCGTGTCTCCCGTCGACCCCAGAGACCTTCGCGACGGCGAGAGACTTGATTGCTCTCACGGAGCCGGCACCGCCCCAACCACCGGTACCGTTGGCTCCTCATCCGGTGCAATCCAGGGGAAAACCTGCCATGATGCGCCCACCGTCTCAAGGACTGGAACCACGGCACCGATCCAGGTCACGAAGCAGGTCCCGACGCCGCTCGCAGTCCCGGCGCCGACTATCACCTCAGCACCGGTCGTACTCGCGGCTAAGATCATCGTCGCGGCACCGCTCTACGTCCCGGCACCGTTATGATCGTCGGTACCGTTCGAACTCGAGACGTAGTTCCCGGCACCGCTACAAGCGATGCTCGACGTCGAGGGGCCGCTCCCGGCACCGGGCCTACTCGAGGTCGCTTTCCAGGTCCAGGTCGGACTCTCGGCACCGACGCGGTCATCGGCACCGATCCCGATCTCGGCACCGCTCACCGGCACCGCATAGGGACCGATCATCTCCAGACCGGCACCGTATCTTCCGGAGTTCATCTCGGCGCGGTCGGCACCGCCATGGCCATCGAGATCAGTGTCCCGTTCCTCCGATGGGGCATCAAGATCGGCATACCCCCCTCAGGGGCAGGCCGCTGAGCCGGACATGGGCCACTGGCAGGAGGTAGCGGAGGATCCCGCGCAGGGACCTTCACATTGGTCGTTCTGGACCCCGTGGGCGTACCACCAAGCACAAGGGGCTCCACCACCATCAGCCTCTCGCTCGGTGCACTCTGAGCGAAGGGCCCCAGAGTCCACCATCTCTCGCCCTCCTCCAGGGGACACGGAGGCTTCCGTGCCCGCACCACCTGACGTCCTGGACCCA